CCCCAGGTAGGACGCGCGCCCCGCAAAGCAAAGAGGAAGCGGCGGCGGGCCGGCGAGGACCCCGGCCAAGGTCACACGCCTTTACAGCGCTTCCCCCCACCCTAGGTGCTTCCTTCTGTGAATGAGAATAGAATTAAGCTCTCCTTTCTTCGCCTCGATGGCCGGCATGTGGGATAAAAATGAAGTCGTTGAATGCCTTTTATGCGCCTGGACAGGGTTTTCAGAGCCCCCAGCGTGCCGGGTCGCAAGTCTTCAGGAGAGAGGTCACTTGAGGCGGTGCGGAGACCCCCGGTGGGAGAGCCCCGTGAGGAGCAAAAGCCCGCACGAGGCGACACGAACACCCGATACCCTGCGTGCGCCAGGGGCGCGGAGCCGCGGGAGCTCAGGTCCCAACCCTAAGGGCGACGCCCGATCCCTCACCCAGGAGGCTGGGACGAACGCCCAGCGGGTTCCTGGGAAGGGTTAACGCCGCCTTCCTGAGGGCTCGGCTTTTGAGACCCCGAAACCTAGAGACGGGGTGCGTCCCCGGGCCTCGAAATTCGGCCTTCCAAACGCCAATTCAGGGTGCGAGTGTGCGCCGAGGGCCGGCGGGGACCCCCGGGGACCCTGTAGCTCGGGCTCCGCTACGCCCCAACCCCCAGCAGCAGCGCCTGCCTCAGAAGGTGGGAACCGGCGCTCGGGAGGACCCCGGAAAGGGGGGCAGGGAGTGGGTCAAGTGGGTGACCTCTGGGGACCCCGGGGCTAGTGGAGCGCCGGCCAATAGCGGCGGTGGGCGGAGAGTGGCCGGACCTGGGGACCTGCGTGGGCTCGATCCCTTTCCTGCCCTCGCAGAGCTCCGCCCGCCCACCTCCCTTTTAAACCCGCCTGGGCCCTCGGGGTTTGTCGGAGTCCGCGCCGCCCCTCCGACTCCTGGAGAGCTGGTTGGGTCCGTGGAGGTAGGTGCCGGAGTGGGTGCGCCCGGGGACCCAACGGCCTTCATCTTCCAGGGCGCCGGGGTGGTCGTTTTGCTATCTTGGGACCTTTTATTAAGAGACTTTCCGGCCCCAAGTTGCAGGTCTCTGGGGCGGAGAGGAGCCGAGCACCTTCAGAAGCTCTGAGAGCCGGGCTGATGCTGCGCCCTGCTGACCTCTCCTCCTGACCTCGTGTTCTTTGATTTCAGAGTCACGACCCTGGGTGTTTTCCTTATTGGGCTCATTGATCTTGCCTCCTAGACCCACGGCCCTGAAGGGGCTTCGTGCCTCAGCCGCGATGAACCTGCTGCGCGTTCGCTCCGACGCCATCCTTTCCAGGCGGGGGACGGGGTTAGGACAGCGGCCGCCGAGGCTTCTCCCGCCTGGCCTGGGGTTCGCCCTGCTCCCCCGCGAGAGGTGGCCCCAGGCCCCTTCATTCCCAGGCTGGGAGGCGTGGCTTTCGTCTCTGTGAGAGCTGGCGGATTGGGTCGGGACTTGACTCTGGGGGAAACAGGTCTAGAGGCCGATTTATTCTCCAGGGAGTCGAAGGCCACGCGGTCGGGTGGCCAGGACCTGCGGGGGTCGCGCAGCTGGGAGACGCCGCCGGCACCGCAGCTCGCGGGTGGGAGGACCGTGGACCGCGGGTCTTTGGGCGACCCTCTGAGAGCTTTGATGGGCAGAGCAAAAGGAAGGGAAGGGAACTCTGAAGTTTTGCAGGATTCGGGTTGGGGGCAGAAGGCAGAGAGTGGGTGTTGGAAGCCAACTGTGCCCGGTCAAGGTGTGTTTGGAGACGCAAGGCGAAGGCGACACTAACCAGGGATTTGGAATCGGGTGGGGTCTCGCCGGATTTTCGTTGAGTGTTTGTTTTTACTGCCTTTGGGTTTGATGGCCTTGTAAGATAGGGCTGGTGGGGATCGAAGTAGACAGCTGATACGGTGAATTTAGACCCGGGGGGGCGGAAGAAGCGGGGCAGGCGGCACACCGAGACCTCCAGCGCTCAGCAGCTCTCACTTTCCCGCATCCCTGCAGAGCGTAGCCCGCAATGGCTCTACGGCCGCCAGGTGAGGCCGAGCTCCAGGACAAGGTGTGCTACCCGGCCGAGCGGCTCCAGAGCAGCCCCCAGCCCCTGGCTCCCTACTACTCGCCGTTCCCAGCCTACGGCCACTACAGGAGCGCCTTGCCGGCCGCGGAGGAGGACTTCCAGCCCCTCGGACAGCTGGAGGCCGCGATGTCCGCGTCTCAGGCAATGACCCCTTTTCCCTTCGGGATGGCTTCCCCCTTGCTGAGTCCGGGTCTGGCTCTGCAAAGGGAGCCGCTCTTCGACATGCCCTGGTACACCAAGCTACCTCTGTGGTACCCAGTTTCCCACCTCCCTAGGGAGGTGCCACTCTTTCTGAACAATCACGAGTACACGGGCGCGAGCGGCGACGATCTGGTTCCCGGGACTGGCCACAGAGACAGCAGCCAGGGCTGGGGCCCTGAGACTTTAATTCCGCTGCCCCCTGTGAATGCTTCCCCGTTACCTGAGGGGCTGAAGACCTCCCAGTTAGTATCTTCCCCCAGCAAGCGCTGTGAAGAGAGCCCCAAACCTCCGAACCGAGAGGCGGAGTCGTCTCCAAGTCGTCGTTTCCACTTCTCTGAGGAGGAGCTGCACTTCGTTCTGTACGGCGTAGCGCCCAGCCTGGAGCGCTCGGCCAGACTGCATCATGCGATTTCGGGCCTCCCGGTCCCCGCCGACAGCTCTGGTAAAGGGAACCGACGCCAGCCGGGGGAGTTGGGCTGGTTGGGAACCATGTGGGATGAGTCGCTTCAAAGTGAAGGGGTCGGGGTCGCTGGGCTCTCTCCAGCCGAGCCTGGGTTTTAGGCTCACTTCTGGGGCCCTGCTAGCTTATGGGGTGATTCCTAAGGGTGGCTTCAGGGAGCGCTGACGACCAGGAAAAATGGGCGCTTGCATGTGCGAGGCCCCTCCACGGCCACCTCATGTCCAGGGCAGCTGTCTGCTTTGACACTAGCCTCACTTTAACTCTGAATCTCCTTTCTCAAGTTGCAAAATGGAATTAATTACAGTTATATAACCTTGCAGGAAAGGGATCTGAGTCTCAAAAGAAAAAAAAAAACGTGTAGGAAAAGCGGTATCAAAGAAGCAAAACAACAATAATAATAAAAGATTGACAAGCAGAATGATGGTTACCTCTAAAGAGGGAAGTGTTTTAGAAAAGGATTTCATAATGTATTTGTAACACAATGTTTAACCCCTTCTTCTAGGGTCTGAGGAGCATCCTCCTCCAAGTCTGGATAAAGACTCCCTTCAGCTTCCAGAAGGTAGGCAGCACTCCTTGCTGGACTGGTTCCTGGACCTAATGTGCAGTCACTTTCCTCATTCTCTTCCTGCCTCGGTTCCCCTTAGGTCTCTGCCTGGTGCAGACGATGATGTTGGGTGCAATGCCACACTTCAGTGTGTTCTGCAGCAGTTTTCTCGCCAAAGGCATCAGGTTTGGGCCCTTTCAAGGTAAAGCGATCAGCGCCAGAGAACTGAAGACCCACAGTGACAATTCCCTGATGTGGGAGGTAAATGAGCTTCCTGTGGGCCTGCTGGAGGGGGGAGGGCGGCACAAGAGGGAACTCTCTTGGTCCTATCCTTCTTCTTTTGGTACTGGGGATCCAGCTCAGGACCTTGCACTTACAAGGCAGGCGTGGTCCCCACTGAGCTAAATCCCAGCCCTGGCCCTATGCCTCTGGGAGTCCTGGTCAGGAGAGGCACAGCAGGTCCCTGAATCAGGACAGCATCTCTGCATGAACTCTGTCCTGTGAGGCCCACAGTTTTTTTAACCTGTGATGATTAGTTATGGAATACACACTCAAGACCAAATTCATTCTGTTATATTTATAAACAAAACCAAATGCTTGAAATATATAGTGCTGTGAAAGCATGTTGAAAGGAATAAAGATGAGTTTTAGATATTGATGGTATTTGCTTACAGAATTAGCCATGGATTTTTATGTATGGGCATGGCCCAAACTAGTGACAGACAGTACCTAGGACACACTGGTGACACTGCAGTTTGTTAATCTGCGGGAGGAAACCAGTTGTTAAAATATACCAGATACCTTAAATGGTTCAAAATACCTTGACCCTGCATTTCTGGCTATAGGAATGTAGTTTTTGAAAATAATCTGCAATTTAAGCTATGTGGAAAATGTTAATCACAGAGTTGTTTATACATTAGAGAGCTAGGTGTGGTGTCCCAGCTACTTGGGGACAAAGGCAGTAGGATCATGAGTTTGAGACCAGCAGTGGAGAAAGTACTGTATTAAATTAGGGCTCCATTAGTATATTACAGGACTGTGTCTTTAAGTGGTGGAAATAAATGTAACTTCATTTCCCTTACCTCTGCTTATGAAGTTAGCATATGTTCACAAAATGTGGGAGTTGAGAAAGTGGTGCAAACATTGATCTTTTATTGGCTTTTGGCTTGGTTTGTTTTTTGGGACAGAGTTTCACTGTGTACTGTAGGCTGGCCTGGAACTCACAGCAGTCTTTGCACATCAGCCTCCTGAGTGCTGGTTACAGCTGTGTGCCACCACGCCTGCAAAAACCTTAATCTTTAAAAAATGTGTCACATACCTGTAGAGATGTCTTGAAGCTAATAAATTTACAGTACTTAGGTTTAAGTAGATAATTAACTTGTAATGATACAGAAATCTGATTTATAGGGCCAGGGATTTAGCTCAGTGGTAGTGCTGCTTGCCTTGCAAACGCAGGGTCCTGGGTTTGTTCCCCATATGAAAAAAGAAAAGAAAAGAAAAGAAAAGGAATCTGATTTATCAATAAGATATATATAT